GGGCACTGCCCGGCCCCGGGACAGGGCTGGCGCGTGCCCCCTCTGGCCCGAGGCGGGCTGCGAAGCGCTGGGCTCGCCTTGCTCGCAAGATACAGTGCGGAAACAGTGCTGGACTCTGTAAATGGCTTTAGCTGACTGGAAGACGTGTAAAATCACGTCAAAACTCTGAGCGTGGGCGAGGGTCAGATCCTGTCCTCCGTTGGAGCCGCACCAACTTTCAGAGTCGGCTGCTGTCAGCGTTTGGGCTCCTGCAAGAAGTCGCAGCTGAAAGTGCAGCGTTGAAAAGGTGGAAATCGTTGTAGCCTGCTCTACTTTTTTTCCTTCTTTTTCTGCAGTGCCGCTAGTCGTGTTTTGCTGCTTGCTTTAGGGCTATTGAGTTTACAGATCTGGGTTCGTTAAACTTTCCTTTGGGGAAAAAAAATATAGAAAACAATGGAAGGATTTGGCATTGAAAAACAATAGTTGTAGGTAACGTGTTGTGCTTTACTGTTATACTCCAATCACCCGGTTGTTCCAGGCAGATAAACTTGTATTTAGCAGAAGTTCTTGTCAGCCCTCAGGGGGCTGGACTTGCATAATATACTCAGGATTTTCGATTTCTGTTTTAGTCAAGCTAATAGAATTTTTATTTCCCTTGTTTGAGGGAACTGGCCCTTGTTGTCAAAATGGGAAAAACTAGTTACCATTTTCAGCTTTTCCATTACACTGAGTTTCTAAAGCAGAAGCATGAAATACCTATGTAGGCCTCACAATTCATCCTAGGCAAGAAACGCTCTACTGGTACTGTATGGAAAGGTTAACCCCCCCATCTCTCCCATGTTAGTACTTATACCAATGTATTTTCCTCCACCAAAAAATAAATGACACAGGAATCGTTTTCAGTGATACACTAGTCTATCTGCAATTTAGAAAAGGAACGGAATTATTGGAAAGCCTGTGAAATAAAAATGTTTCAATAAAAATACCGTTTTCTCCAGCAGATGCCCCAGTGTCAAAGGAATAGTTCTGGACAATACGTAGTGCGTGAAAGAGGTGAGCATAAGGCTGCTTGATACAGCAGCGTTTTCCTCCCATTTCTACCATGGGCTGCATGACTGCATATCCATAACTGAAATCGCTTTAAAAAGAATCTGCAACAACTTGATGGAAGCCCTCTGTGTAATGAATACACATTATTCATCTGTATTGCAATTCTGCAGCTAATAAAGTTCATTTATCAGCTTTTTTAAATTATCCTTTTAAATGATATCCTTCTATCCTGGCCTCAGGTACCATGTCTGGATATTCAGCACAATACTGGCAGGTTATTGGCATTGCCAGCAACGTTGCTTTTGGCAAGAAACTTTATAGTGTCACAGTGGCATATCTCCCACTGCCCAGCAGGTGGAGGCAGAATTTGAGAGAAAATAGTGCCTTGTTACAATGACTATCATTTTTGTTGCTGAAGTTTATTCTTAAAATACAGCTCCCTCATTCCTATCGTTTCCTGCAGGAAGAAAATCTTACATAAAAATATAATACACCGTTAAGGAAAAACAGTAAATTAAATAGATTTTAGTAGGTTTTAGTAACAATGTCTTTACTATAGTCCCCTATATGTAAAAACTGCCTGTTTTTCTTACCACAGGTTATCATATATTGGTACTATGTCCCATAGGAGCTTACAGCATCATTACTCTGATTCCTACTTGATACTTGCAAGCTGATTTTTCTTCTTATTTTCTATTTCTCTTCTGGAATTGGCTGCAAACTTGTTCTTTAAAAAAATAAAAAAGTGCTCCAAAGAAATAAAACAGCACCAGCTCCTCAGAGCCATTTTTTCACTGGGGTCAGGGACTGAAAAAAGGTACAATAAGCATTAAGGAATCATGGATTGCACTGCAAGAGGCATTGTTTCCAGTAGGTGGTTCTCTACTACTGTTATTAAATAAGATCTCAGGATCTGGGAATGTCTGCGAGGCAATATTAATATGGCTTAAAGAATGTCTTGTTAATTAAAAAAAAATAAAACTATCTTTTGGGGGAAGTCCCATACCAGCCCTAATGAGCCTCTAGATTGACAGTAACTAATTCCTCCTACAAAGATCTCTGTCATAAGTGCTTCCATCAGCAGACATGCTAATGAATGCACAGAAACTGAATGGATTATCTTTGAGATAGCCCAATGTAATTAGGATTGAAAACTATGTCAGAGACATGTGATGATTTTTTCCTTGTGCATCTGCTGGCTGTATCGTGTTAATTTTACTTTATTATTCCAGAGTGAAAGGAAAGGAAGCAAACAAAATACAGGCATGTAAGGACTAGAGACAAGAAGTCAAGGATTAAAGTCTTACTGAGACGGAGAAGATGTGAGGAGTAGTTGGGTAGAGAGATTTTTGAAGGCCCTGAAACAAAGGCAGTAATTAATAGGGCATTTGGTTCAAATAGTAATTGTCCACTTTTTTGCTGATTTTGTGACTAAGAGGTTTTTGCTGCAAAAATGAAACGGGCCCAAAATTATTAGACTACCATCACACAGTGACTATCAGGCTACTATACTAAAGGTAGTTTTTCTTTCTTTGCATAACAGTAGATTAGAAAGATCTTTTAAGGCAATAAGAAAGAGGGTTTTGTTGATTTATGCAGGAGGATAAAGTGTCAACTTATCCCTGTGGGGTCTGATAATCGCGTCAGAGGGGCATGGCGCGGCAGTTTGCGCAGGCAGTTCGCGCGGGCAGGGCGCCTTCTCCCCTCCTGGCTCAGAGGGTCACTCGATTAGCACCCATAGACATCCTAAAAGAGGAGCAAGCAGTGGTTTCCACTCATCTGAAAGCCGTTGCCAGAAAGAATGTGGCGACCCAGACGGAGTCCCCACCTAAACAGAAATATGCGGCTGTCCAGGTCACTGGCTGTAGGGAGTGCCTCAGCCTGTCAGCTGTACCAGGGAATGGTAAGGACAGTGGCTGTCTCAGGTGTGAGCAGGTGGATGATCTGCTCTGCCTGGTGGCAGAGCTGAAAGAGGAGGTGGAAAGATTAAGGAGCATTAGAGAATGCGAGATGGAGATAGGCTGGTGGAGCTGCACCCTACC